ACACACAACCCCCCAACCCCATCCTTATAAAGAAAATGTCCTTATACTTGGGTTACTTGTACATCAAAACGAGATAAATAACTAACGACATTTCTCCAATATTTCCAAGCACTTAGTAGGTTCTGTCTTCATATTACTTCGCAAATCGCTAAAACCATAGGAAAAATATGGTGGAATATTATGTCCACCATAATATTTGATGCCAAAGTAGATTATTATGTCGCACTAATTTACAATTTTTACAAAGTGGAATATTTGGTCCAACAAAAAAACAAAAAGACTTTGGGTGTGCACAAATAGATAATTCAACTTTTCTTATTTTTTCAGATGAACACACCAACTTATAAAATGATCATTTTGACACATTCAAAATTTATGCAGCATTTGTGTTTACGTGTTCAACTTTATACAAGTTGAGGTGTCTATTTGTGCACACCCAAAATTTGAGGGCATAACTGAGGCCAAGTTTGAGGGCCTGGTTATGTATTATGCTCCTTTATTAAAAGTGACTTTCTATCTTGGAAAAAAGCAGACGAAAAAATACCAGGCATTGACTACTACTATGTCGGAGCTATTGCTCTGGTTAGCCCGGGAAAGGCTGCGTGGTTTAATTTTGGCAGAAGAATCAGCTCCATCGATTTTATCAGTAAGCGAACATTTAGATGCTTTACCAGGAGAGCTAAATCGGTTGCAGCTTTTGTTAAAAGGCAGCAATAAGATTCAACAACACACAAATGGTGCAAGGGAAATTGAGATACGAGTTAGGCGAATTGAATATCTCGTTTATCGAATGGAAGATGTTGTAGAAAAATCAAGAGGAAGCTCGTCTAAAATGGGGTTAGTTAAAGGTATAAAAACGATGTTTATCAGAGATGCTGCACTTACTCTCCAGCAGATTAGATCCGAGATTGAGCTCAACTGCGAGCAAATCAGAATTGCTTATAATGCAGTTAATAAGAAGGAAGATCAAGGTCAACCGAGAAGTTCTCCTATTTTGCCCCAACAACTATTTGGTATTGAGGAGGACAAGAAGAAAGTGCTTGGAGTTACGTTATCTGGAGTCGGGTCCGACATCCCTGAGTCGTCTTCCCGCTCGGGGTCCGGCTTCCCTGAGTCGTCTTCCCACTCGGGGTCCGTCATACCCGAGTCGTCCTCCCACTCGGGGTCCGGTATCCCCGAGTCGTCTTCCCACTCAGGGTTCGGCATACCCGAGTCGTCTTCCCACACAGGGTCCGGTATCTCCAAGTCATCCTCCCACTCGGTGTCCAGTATCCTCGAGTCGTCCGCTCACTTGGTGCCCGGTACCCTCAGGTCGGCCCTCCACTTGGTGTCCGACATCCCCCCGTCGTCCTCCCACTCGGGGTCCGGCATCCCCGAGTCGTCGTCCCACTCTGTGTCAGACATCGTGGAGTCGTCCTCCCACTCGGCCTCCTGCATCCCCGAGTCGTCATCCCACTCCGTGTCCAGCATCCCCGAGTCGTCCTCCCACTCAGTGTCCTGCATCCGCGCGTCGTCCTTCCACTCGGTGCCCCACATTCCCGAGTCGTCCTCCCACTCGGTGCCCAACATTCCCAAGTCGTCCTCCCACTCGGAGTCTTGCATCCCCGAGTCGTCCTCTCACTCGGTGTCCTACATCCCCGAGTCGTCCTCCCACTCGGTGTCCTGCATCCCCGAGTCGTCCTCCCACTTGGTGTCCTGCATCCCCAAGTCGTCCTTCCACTCGGTGTCTGGCATCCCCAAGTCGTCCTCTCACTTGGTGCCCAACATCTCCGAGTCATCCTCTCACTCGGTGTCCAACATCCCCGAGTCGTCCTCCCACTTGGGGGTCTTGGTCATCCCAATATTTGGAGTTGTTGGCTCGGGTAAGACAACTCTGGCTAATGTAATTCTCAATGACCAACTTGTTACTGGTAACTTTAAGTATCGCATCTGGATTTATGTACCCGACAATTGTAAAAGCAAGGATATACTTCGACAAATACATGAACAGATCGATGGAAAGAACGGAAACATGTTGTACTCGGAAGAACAATTACTTGAGGAGATTAGCAAAAGCCTTAAATCTCAGAGGAGCTTAATTGTCCTAGATGACATACGGTCCATTGAAGCTTGGAAAACGCTGCATATAACATTGCCACGGCTTAATAAAGGTAGCAAAATACTAGTGACAACCCGGGAAGTATCTGTAGCTGAATACATATCCGAAAAGCATGCCTTCCATAACATGAGGACCTTGAACGAGAATGAAGGCTGGGATTTGTTTACTCAAGTGTTCTCTCCCCAGTATCCAGGTTGGTGAATTTTCCCAACCAAAACTTATCTTAAATTATCTCTATATTCTTATTGTTCACTTATAATGTAGTCTGTAAAGTAAAGAGAACCAAGTATAAGTGATAAATGCTCAGTATTTACCAAGAAATTAATCCGAATAATATTTAAGAATTTCAAGATAATACTAAGAATATGCTCCAACTCCTCTCGCCACAGTACAATTCTTGGTAATTGCAAAAGAGTGAAGATGTGGATAGATAAATGGATAGGTGATAGCCCTTTAATAAAGATAATCCCAGATCTTTATTCTATCAGTTCAAACAAGAAATGTACTGCAGCAGACTGTTACTCCAATGGGAAATGGAACTTACTTTTTGAGGAGAAAACCATGATGATGCAACAACAACATACCCAATATACTCCCACATGTGGGGTCTGGGGAGCGTAGTGTGTACGCAGACCTTACCCCTACCTAGTGAAGGTAGAGAGGCTGTTTCCAATAGACCCTCGGCTTAGAAAGAAAAAACCATGATGATGGAATGTGTTAAATGGGGATGCCGTAGACATAAAATCACATTGCGTGAGTTGTTTCAAAAGACCTTAGTTTTTCTAAGTCAGTGTGACATAAAGCAAAAAAATGAACATTAACACAATGGAAGCAAAAATCCACACGGGCGCTACCAACTAGTTACTAAGGCTTAGTCATGGCGATATGCTTATAGGTTCAGTGTTTGGTAGGAGTCAGTTTAATCTGTTTAGAGATGTAAATGTTAATATAAGTTGTAGAGAATCTTTAGGGTTAGAGAACCACAACTCAGTGAATATCAGAAATGAAATAGGTCCAAATGGATAGTGAGATTTATATAACCTACCGCAGCTAAAATTGGAATTAAGCAGTATTAATAGTTGTAAGAGAAAATACCAATCGTTTTACATTATTTCTGCAAGAAAATCAATATATAATTTTAGAAATTAAATATTTTGTTTTGGCACACTACCTGGCGTTTCTTCACATCCAAGCTTAAAGCGTCGAGTTGTCACCACCAACACAAGCTTAACTTCAAGATCTTATTATGTTTATCACTTTTCCGCACTTATTTCTGTCTATGACATGACGTCTCAAGAAAGAACAGGAGACTATTTAGTAAGTTCTGTTGTCTAAAATATTCAGTAATGGTCCACGAAACCTTAAACTCATTCTGTTGTGAGAAAATGTGAACATTGATATTTTAAGTGGAAAGTTTACATGTTAATTATCATGTAATTTAGCAGCTTTTTGTTTTCTACTTCACTCCTATCTGACATCTGATAAAGTTAACTTTTGTACAATGTTTAGCGGAAGAAAAGATGGTAATGGTGAGGAAAATGGTAGGATCTTGTAAAGGCGTGCCACAGCTTATCAAGGAACTTGCATTTTACTTGGCACCTAAACCAGCGGAGGAGTGGGAGATAGTGTATAAAAATATCCAAACATATGTATCCGCATTCTTTTCTACGATTTATAGTGAGTTATCAGATCACTTAAAACCGTGCTTTCTTCACTTGGGTCAGTTCTCAGAAGATGCAGAAATAGAAACCGAAAAGTTGTTTCATCTGTGGAAGATTGAAGGCTTTTTATCCACAAAAGAACGTGCTAGAGGGGAGAGAATGATGGACCTGATGGAACGATATCTGAAAGAACTGGCACATATTAACATCATAGGGTTGCAACAAGAGGAAGTTCCTACTGAAAAGAAATTCAAGGCTTGCCGTTTTATTGGAGGAATAAAAAACTTATGTGTCTCATGGGGTGAACAAAAATGTTTTCTCAAAATTGTAAATTTAAGAGAAAATGATTGTTCGCTCTCATCTGAAACATTACCACCTCGACTTGTCATATATCAGGGTGACCATGAACTTGCTGTTGCTTATGAAGTTGCTAATAATGTTCGGAGTCTTCGAGTTGTTGGTGGAAACAGGAAGCAATTTGAAATGCTTAATATTAAGGATTTCAGAGTGCTCAGAATTCTTGATGTTGATGGGATTAATTTTCAAGGACAGAAACTACCGGGGGGTATATCTAATCTGGTGCTCTTGAGGTATCTGAGTGTCAAAGGGTGTGTCCTCGAGGAATTGCCATCGTCTATTGGCAAGTTGGTGCACTTGCAAGTACTTGATCTGAGAGTGAAAGAATCAACCGAAATGATAGTTATAGACGTGCTATGGAAGATGAGGAAATCAAAACATTTATATCTTCCATCAAAGTTTCGGACTCAAAAAGGAGAAAAGTTGCGATTAGATGGCTTGAAGGAGCTTGAAACTATCGAGAATTTCAATACAAGGGTGTGCAAGGTTAGCGATGTATCCAAATTTCCCAAGATCCGGTACTTGGCAGCAAAGATAGAAGGGAATTTTGAGGATTTCAAGTCAATCAACAGCTACATGAAAACTTCAAACAACTGGTTTTGTGCTTCCATTGATATCGTTGATTTGGATTGCTACTCGGAGGAAAGGCATTCAGTTTTACAAGAATTTTTATGGTGTGAAGTACTTCAAATATTGCACTTCAAAGGACATATTGGTCACTTACCACCATATGATGAAATCTCTCAGAAATTCACTCAGTTAGTACTTAATAATTCTCATCTTAAAGAAGATCCTATGGCAACCTTGGAAAAGCTTCCTAATTTAGGGCGTCTGATCCTCACTGATGATGCTTATATGGGGAAGAAAATGGTCTGCTCTGCTTCAGGTTTTCGTCAACTCAAACATTTAGAACTCGTGAATTTGCAGTTACTGGAGAAATTTGAGGTGAATTGTACAGCTATGCCTATAGTTTCCGTCCTAAAAATCACAAACTGCGAGAGATATGATCGTGTCATCCCTGATTGTCTCAACGACCGTTCGTCCCTGCACCACCTTAAAATTTTCCTCAGCTAGTTTCACTATACCCCACTTATGGGTATATACTGGGTATGTTATTGTTGGAGAAAATGACGTTGTATAGCCGCTCTCAAAATAATAGCAGAAAAAGTGTATATTATTTATATATTTTTGGTATATATATACATTCTGTATGTTATATACAAAAAATATATAAATTTTATACACTTTTGGCAACCAAATGTAAATAGTTTCTGATGTGGGTTAAAAGTTAAAAAAGCCCGTTGTTGTTATGGTTGTTGTTGTTTAGTTTCACTATAAGCATGGCTGAAACAGCCATCTCCTTCAGCTTTTCCAGTAAAACTTGTTCTAATGGTGCTCCTTTCAACTACATTGGTTATCGTCCATATGGTGGTTGCTCAAGACAATAAGATTTTAGGGGATATTTGTCAAGTTATAACATTTGAGTTGTTATTTTTTAATTTTTGGATCCAAGCAAATCCTTCTTCTATTGTTTCTCATTTTTTTTAATAACCGTGGTGTTCGGGCAGCTTGCGCGTCCCTCAACTAGTTTCATGGGATACCTGTCACTTTTCACCAGCAACAGGTACCACGTAACTCTGTCCACCAATACTTGGACATATGAGAAGAAATAACCTAGTGAAACAGAATACTGTTTCTCATTTTATTTCTATGTTTTCAATCCCCCTATGATATGTACGTGCCATTTAACTATGACTACGTAGGTAGGCGTGTTGTCCGTGTATCTCATATAACACAATTTTAAAAATTACATAACTATAACTTCCCTTCATTTCATTTTATGTGATAGCGTTTGATTTAACATGGAGCTTCATAAAGAAATAAATCTTTTAAATTTTGTGATATAAAACATGCTACAGATATTTGTGTGGTGACATCAAACGTAAAATTACAAAGTTAAATTATTTTTAAATATAGCAAATTATCGTTATTTTTGGGACATACTAAAAATAAATGTTTATCACGTAAAATGGGACATAGGGGGTATTAAACGATTTGTTTGAGTTATTAAATACTAAGAAATTTTAAAGATAAATGTGTTAGTTTTTGAAAATGAAAAATGTTGACTCCATTAGCCAACTCAAGAGAGGATGAAATCCAGCTCCATAGAGAAATCCTCAAATATCTTATTGTGATTTTTAAGAATTTTTATGAGAATATTTTATGACAATTATAGTTATTTCTGTAACCTAATACTAAAAACTTACACAAGTAACTCAAAGATATATCTACTAAATAATTTCGTCATTATTTTAATTTTCGTATTATAATTCTGTCACTATAATTCTGGGCCAAGATGACTTGTTTCCTCCGTTTGATCCTGATTGGACACAAAGTTACCCAAAAAAAAAAAAATTAAAACTTATAATCTTAAATACGCCAAATATTTTGTGCGACTAATCTTAAATTATTATTTACCCTAAAAATTGAGTAACAATTACACTTATATTATGGTTTTAAGGATATGTGATTTAAACCAGTACCAATTGATAAACAACGAATTA